AATTTTTTGTATTTTTAGTAGTGACAGGGTTTCACCATGTTAGGATGGTCTTGATCTCCTGACCTCGTGATCTGCCAGTCTTGGACTCCCAAAGTGCTGAGATTAGAGGCGTGAACCACTGCGCACGGCCTGATAGTTTTTTAAAATTTAAATAATGTGTATACTGTCTTTTATTGCTGATTTATATAGGAACTTTCCTCACTGGTTATGCATTTAGTTTTATTTCAATGATAATATCTTTTGCTTAACTATTTTCTCTTTGGTTTTACAGGTTTTTGATTGGTCAGGGAGCACATGTAGGGGCTGTCAACAGTGAAGGAGACACACCTTTAGATATTGCGGAGGAGGAGGCAATGGAAGAGCTACTTCAAAATGAAGTTAATCGGCAAGGTAAAATAAAAAGCAACCTAAATGGAAAAAATGTTTTAGAAAGAATATGGTACTTTTCCAGCAAAAATATTTATTGACATTGAAGGACAATCATAATTGAATGAAAAGAATGAACTCAGCTTGCAAAACAATAGTACAGTATGATTCTGTTTTCTAGAATATTCTCAACTCTATCTTTTAAGTATTTTTAAAGTTAAATGTCAGAAACAACAGGATCAGGCATAAATTTATGTGGAAGTAAAAGTTTTGAAGCAAAATAATGGAGGCAAAGGGGATAGAAAGTGCACAGGGTAAGTGGCACATTGCAAAGTTAAATAGTGTGGTCAGGAAGGCTCACTGATAAGGGGTCATTTAAGCTGAGATGTGAATACAATGAGGGAATGAGTCATGTTGATCTGGGGAAAGAGCCTTCCAGACAAGGGGAGCAATGAATACGAATGGGAGGGTGTCTTGTATATGCAGAGAAGCAGCATGTAAACTAGCATGACTGGAGAGGCAGAGCAGAGGAAGAGGCAGGTAGGAGGTGAGGTCACAGAAGTAGCAGGAGGTCATATCACATAAGGTTTTGTGAGTCATTGGGAAGACTTTGGCTTTTAACCTGAGGGAAATAGGAAGCCAATGGAGGGATTGAGGCAGAGGACTGACATGATTTGATACAGTTTTAGAAAGGATCTCTCTGGCTCTTGTGTTGAAAATAGATTGTAGGGAGACAAGGACAGAAGTAGGAGAAGGGTTAGGAAATAATTGCCATAATCCAGACGAAACAAGGTGATTTATTTTTGACTGGTAGTAGATGAAGTGATGAGAAGAGGTTGGATTATGGGTATATTTTGAAGGTTTGGCCAAAAGAATTATTGAGTCATTAGCTAGAAGGTGTGAAAAAAAGAAGACTCTAAGATTTTTGGTTTGAACAAATGGATGGATGAAGTTCCTATTTGAGATGTGAAGATTATAAGAAGAGTAGGTTTTATAGGGAAATATTAGGGCTTCATTTTCAGGCATGTTAAATTTATTTTGCATGTTAGATATCCAAACTGTTGAATATGTGAGTCTGGAGTTACAAAATGGATATGTAAATTTGGGAGATGTTCATTTATAGATAGGAGTGATTGCTAGTGGGCACAGAGTTTCATCAGTCTTAAGAGTGATGAGTATTCTAAAGTTGAGTGTCATGATGGTTACACCACTCCTCACATTTACTAAAAAAACCATTTAATTCTACACTTTAAATGCTATGTAGATGCTGTGAATTATATCTTAATAAAGCTGTGTATGTGTATATATATGTATGTATATATAAAACATGATCCAGGCCGGGTGCGATGGCTCATTCCTGTAATCCCAGCACTTTGGGAGGCCGAGGCGGGCGGATCACGAGGTCAGGAGTTTGAGACCAGCCTGACCAAGATGGTGCAACCCTGTCTATACTAAAAATACAAAAATTAGCCGGGCGTGGTGGTGTGCACCTGTAATCTCAGCTACTCAGGAGGCTGAGGCAGGAGAATTGCTTGAACCGGGAGGCAGAGGTTGCAGTGAGCCGAGATTGCACCACTGTACTCCAGCCTTGGTGACAGAGTGAGACTCTGTCTAAACAAAAAAAAAAAAAAAAAAAAAAAAAAAGATCCAGATCCAGCAACTCCTCTTCTAGAAATTTACCCAAAAGATTTTTTTTTTTTCTTTTTTGAGACAGAGTGTTGCTCTGTCACCCAGGCTGGAGTGCAGTGGCGCAATCTGGGTTCACTGCAACCTCTGCCTCTCGGGTTCAGGCGATTCTCCTTGCCTCAGCCTCCCGAGTAGCTGGGATTACAGGCACCTGCCACTGTGCCTGGCTAATATTTTTGTATTTTTAGTAGAGATGAGGTTTCACCATGTTAGCCAGGCTGGTCTATACCTCCTGACCTCAGGTGATCCTCCACCTGGGCCTCCCAAAGTGCTGGGATTATAGGCATAAGCCAGCACTCCCAGCCTACCCAAAACAATTTAAAACAACTCAACTCTTTGAATAATTTATACAAACATGGGTGTACAAATTATTCATATTAGCCAAAAGATGAAAGCAAACCCTGTGTCCATTGATGGATGAATAAATAAAATGTGGAATATACATACAGTGAAATATAATTCAGCCTTAAGGAAGGAAATCCAACATACGCTACAACATGAAAGACTTTATGGTAAGTGACATAAGCCAGTGACCAAAACAAAAATAGAAAAACAAATGATTCTACATATATGAGGTACCTAGAATAGTCAGATTCATAGGAAAATAGAATGATGGCTGTCAGGAGCTGGAAGGAGGGGAGAAAAGGGAGTTGTTGTTTAATGGGCAGAGTTGTTCTTTTGCAAGATGAAAAGAGCTCTGTGTATGTGTTACACAACAGTGTGAATGTACTTAAGAACTGTAAACTTAAAAATAGTTAAGACCCGTAATCCCAGCTAAGTGGGGAGGATCACTTTAGCCCGGGAGTTCGAGGCTGCAGTGATCTGATCACATCACTGTGCTTAAACCTGGGTGACAGAGTGAGACCCTTTCTGAAAACAAAAAAAAGGTTGAGATGGTAAATTTTATTTTTATGTTTATTTTACTATAATTAAAAATTAATGTGTATATGTGTGATTACTTCTTCAGTACCTTTGGGCAGGACACACACACACACACAAAATGCCACATGTGATTTTTGTTATATTCTATTATCTTTAGGCAGTGATCAAACAGGCATTATTAGAGCTGTGTTTTACTGAGCTCAAATGATAGAGGAATGGTATGAAATATTGATGTAGAGGGCTGACTCCTGCTGAAATGTGCTTCATCAGGAAAAGAAACTAAGGATTTGAAAGGAATAGGAGGTAAATAAATTCCATGAAAGGAGATTTTTATTCCTTGGGATTAGGAAAACTCCTAATGACTGCAGGTTTGTTTTGTTTGTTTGTTTTGAGACAGACTGGAGTGCAGTGACACAATCATGGCTCACTACAGCCTCAACCTCCCAGACCCAAGCGATCCTCCCACCTCAGCCTCTTGAGGAGCTGGGACTGTAGGTGCATGCCACCTCACCTGGCTAATATTTGTATTTTTAATAAAGACAGGGTTTCACTGTGTTGGTCAGACTGATCTTGAACTCCTGAACTCAAGCAATCCACCTTCCTTGGCCTCCCAAAGTTCTGATATTACAGGCATGAGCAACTGCATCTAGCCAACTGTGGGTTTGTTTTAAAAAAATATATCTTTTTTTAAATTTTTTTTTGAGATGGAGTCTCGCTCTGTCGCCCAGGCTGGAGTGCAGTGACCGGATCTCAGTTCACTGCAAGCTCCGCCTCCCGGGTTCACGCCATTCTCCTGCCTCAGCCTCCCAAGTAGCTGGGACTACA